AAGTTCGAGAAATGCATACTCAGCAAACTTCAAAATGAAGAATTAATTACAATCAAGGTGTGCAGTCTAGTTTTCTAAGGCAGAAGTAACTTCTTCCCCAAAAATACCACAGCATTCTAAACAATGTTTCTCAGTGGTTTTCACAATTTTCTGAAAGTCGCAGTATGAATGATATGGTGAAATTGACTCATAATTTAGCAATTCCGTAAATACCTTAGAAGACAGCAGCTCTTTATCTGTACTCGTACTATTTCAATGGAGTCGATGCACTTAATTATGTGCTGATGTGTCTTTTTTTTCGATGGCATCTTTGAATTTTATCCAACCCTGGTAACCGCATTCTATTAACATTGTTGTCAGAGCACAAGGATGCCTGTCGTCAGACTTCCGTACAGCAACAAGTGCATCTTTGTAGTTTTCTTTACATGAATTTGTCCACACATTGTGCACCGGTGTTGGAAAAGGAGTAAACTTTGAAAGCATGTAGCTGCAAAGAATACGACAGTCTTCCATTCCCATCTGAGAATGGATGCAGATCTAAAAATTCGAAAAGAAACCAGGCACAGGTTTTGAACAAACAGTGCAAGTCGTCAGAATCCTCGAGGCCATCTTTGATACAATGATCGAACATAATATTTATTGCATTGGTCTAACAACTTGTACACTTCACTTTCCATGTCCTCTGGTTTTCGATACTCGTATCCTTCTCCTTTGTATTCAGTTTTCCGACAGCGGTTGCTGAATATTCCTGGTTTTGTATAGCCTTCTGGAATTTAAATGTATTTCATAAGCTTTTCATGCCTTTCTCTTAGACTTATCTTTGCAATTTGCTGAGAAAAAGAAGAAATCTACTAAACGAATTGGTGACATAGCCTCTTTGTGTTCGCAAAGTCTCTTTCTTTCGCTGATCTGTGAGCCATGCATTTCAAAGGAGGATGGTGGTGTTTTGGACACCTGGTCAAAAATAAAATTCTTGAAATTCTTCTGGACGGCTTCCTTCCGCTAACTTCCTTTTGTCTTTTAACGCCACGAGAAATTCCCACACGATGACCCCATACAACCTCTCTTCAGCTAGTGTTACTCGAGGTCTAATATGTATTCGTGGACGAAGTAAAGCTCTTATTAAAGGGCTCGCAACTAGGGCTTGCTCTTACGCTAGTCTAAGTTTGGAGCTGTGGCTGAACGTCGTTATATTTTGAGAAGCGTGGAAAGGATCCCGTGATTTTCTCAAGCATATGTTTCATTAAAAACATGCAGACGTGACCACGAAACCGTATGTTCGAATTGTTTATTGCAATGTGGTAGGTCAAGTTCGTTTTCACATGCTGTGCGACTTCTTATGCCGCGACTAAATCTCATAGCAAATTTTAGCACAACAAAAGATAAATAAGCAAGTTTACAACGCAGCTACCTTTCATGTATAATGGTTCATAATTATTCCTAACACTCAGTAAAGGGAAAAAAAATCAACACTTAGTTTTAGAATAATAATTATAGTATTTGTGTAATAATATCGGTGATGACGTAATCTAATTAGTATGAAGCACGTGGGTAATGCTGTGTGATGTATATAGGCGAAGTGCGAGAGAAGAAAGGTAGCGTTGCAATGCGGATTCCGTGTGGTCTATAAGTTCCCTACAAGATACTAAAATAATAATAATAATAATAATAATAATATTAATAATAATAACGGACCCCTTCGCTGGGAACTAAGGCAGCAGTTTCCAGGCTACGAGGTGAAGCAATATAACATCATTATGGATGCCCTCAGGGGGTGGTCACGGGAACTTGATGTCATGATGCGCGAGCTGGTGGGAGGAAGAAGCACAGACGTACTGCGAAAGATGTAGAGGGCAGTGCTCTCGGGCATGCTGAATATTGAATATTGCCCGGACTTTCAAGGTGGCAGTTTGAGTTCCTGTTAGAAGGAGGACCTTAGACACAACGGAAAAGCTTTTTAGGATTAGTTAATGTACATTTATTTTTTACTTCATGGCTCACAGGTTACGGTTTTGGCCCTGTGGTGCCTGATTAGAACGTAGCATTCAGTTGATTTCTCTGCGACCATAATAATAATAATTTAGCAATCGACATCCACTGGGTGGCTTTTCTTATCCCCTGTTTCCAGATGAGTTGGAATTTAGAATGTTGGTTTTAGCAAGCCCTAGTTTTAGTCACGTGCGTTATCGTCTTGGGGATGAATGAGCCAAGTACTTGAATGTCTTTGTACAAACTGCGTGCAACATATCCCGACATCCGTTCCTGGTTTTAGGATCTGGGGTCATATTCCGGCGTTCCGGC